CACAGACAGGCATCTGAGATCGGCTCGATTTGAGAAAGGGGAAAACATTTAACGAGATTTTAAAAAAAACACTGGGTGGATTTTTATCAATATAGGGTGGTTGTGTACAAACACTGCCAACACACATTTCAGTTCAAACAACTTGTAAAAGTGCATGTAGCATCCCATGACCCCTTTTAAGTTTTTTATTTTTAATAAATTTGCGAAGATGTTTTACATTATGGTGTATGGAGTGTAGATTGATGTGGAAAAAAAAGTAATTTAAAGCAGTTTAGCATAAGGCAGCAATATAACAAAAAGTGAAAGAAAAAAAAAATGAAGGGGTTATGAATACTTTTGCAAGGCACTGTATATGTATGTATGTGTGTGTGTGCGTGTGTGTATGTGTATATATATATATATATATATATGTGTGTGTGTGTGTGACATAATATGTATAATAAAATACAAAAATGCATTATAAATATAATTATTTTTAACAAAATATAAAAATATATTCTATTATATTCAGAATTTATTTAGTCATTTTTATATATAATTTATCATGAAATTGAAGTGAATTTATCAGTACTATTGGCTACAGTTCATTTAAAGCATTTTGTCTTAATTAAAAAAAAACATTGTAAGAAACATAAATAAGCTGAAATATATTTCATATTTATGTCAAAAAAGAATGATAACTCCGGGATAAAATTCACCTGTAGGTTCTGATGGCAGACGGGTGGGTGTTTTTCTCGCACACACCTGCCGAAGCGATGCAGACACACGTGGTCTGTTGGGGAACAGGACTGAGGACAAGATGGAGGTCTGAGAACCAGGCAGCTGGAGCAGGTCGTGTGCTGGCAGTGGCCTCCACACTCACGCTTCTCCAGCGATACAGACCTGCAGCCGAGAACAGGACGCTCATCAGAGACACTGAACAGATGGATCAAAAATCAAGACTTCAAGCAGAAGTTACCTGGCTGAGCATATTTCATTGGGATTTGTCTTGCAGATTTGTCTTGCAAGTGTCGGCTTTGAGGACCTCCAGCACTGTTTGGAAAGACAAATCAACAAAAAAGGTCAAATGATCAAATACATAGTCAAATAATGTTCTGCAGGGCAAAGAAAAAAACAGACAATAAAACTGATGGAATCCCGTTACAATACGGATGCAGTTCTTAGGAAAGCTTGTGGATTTCATCACCGTCTAGATAAGAACAATCAGAGCTTTGCCTTTATGGGAAAGTGCTCCGAGATCAAAGCAATCCTTGACTGCCGTATCTCTTTTCACAGTTCATAAATTAGATTAACCTTGATGGTGCCATTTTCAAGAGTGTGAACATGAACGTAAAGTTAATCCATAAGCAGGTGCACGCTCTGCAAGAGTAGATTGTACCACAGGGTTTTTTTTTAGTTTTAGATGGCATGAGCCGACAAATACGATGAACACCATACAAGGGACCCCTTCCTATAATATAAAGGCAGCTAAATATTTTATTGCATAAAGAACGATTTATATTTTGAGAATTTTTTTAAATTCTGATATACTAATATTACTAGACAACGTTTCCAAAATTAAATTTAAAGAAATAAGTAAAATATGAAACTTTTTCTACACGTATAGCAAAATATTAAGTTCAAATTTATTTGTAAAGCACTTTTTGTATATTTAATTGTCTTGTATGTGTCTTGTGTATAAAAGATAAATAGATACATTTTACTAAATAGTTTGTTTTTTTCTAAAAAAAAAAAAAAGTATAATAAAAAGTCAACTTTTATTATTATTTATATTTTTCTCTAATTTGACTTTTTTTTTTTTTTTTTATTCAGACCCCTGTGTGGCTCTCCAGTCGGGCCCTGGACTCCAGTTTGAAAACCCCTGTTGCATTATTATATTTGCTGTTGTTGAACATATTTCAAAGGCTGGTCCACTCGTTAATGCAGAAGCATTTAAAAAAGCTAAACAAAATTAAAAGTCTAAAAAAGAAGGGGGCTAATACAACCAAAAAGCATTTTTTTGTAATTAAATTAAATACTAAATGTAGAAATTTACTATAGAAATTTTTTTCCTTGAGAATATTATTTATTTTAATGACTTTTCAGATCTGGTATTCCCTGATATCCCCATGTTTTTCCATGATCATGACAACCCTGAATTCAGGAACTAACTTTGCACTTTACACTCTTAAAAATAAAGATTTACAAACCAGGGTTTTCGCAGCGATGCCATAGAAGAACCATTTTTGGTTCCTCAAGCTTTTAGCGAACAGTTAAAAAAAACAAAACAAGGGTGAAGAACATTTTAATAATCTAAAGAAACATTTCCTAATATAAAGAACCTTTTGTGGAATGAAAAGATTCCAAAGTTCTTCATGGAACCATAGAAGCCAATGAAGAACCTTTATTTAGCCTCAGATTCTAAATAACATCTAGACCAGGGGTGCCCAAACTCGGTGCCCAACACACCTGAAGCAGCTAATCAAGGTCTTACTAGGCATGCTAGAAACTTCCCAGCAGGTGTGTTGAGGCAAGCTGGAGCTAAACTCTGCAGGACACCGGCCCTCCAGGACCAAGTTTGGGCACCCCTGATCTAGACAGATTAACTTGACATCTCCAGCTTCAGTGGTACCTGATTTGCAGGTTCCCTTGCGTTGTGCTTCTGGGTTTCCACCTGTTTCTTCTGGGTAAATGCAAACCAGCCCTTCATCGCATTTGCCCAGGTAGTCCCAGGTGCCTCCACAGCTTTCTCCCACGAGTTTAGCACAGGCTGGACAACAACCGCAGATCCCAGTGGTGATTCCACCCTGACACTGGAGCTTCAGCGCTCGACGAGGGGAACAATGGATGCGTTCGCAGGGCGGACAGTGCAAGGCTTGGAGGATCTGCTGGCCCTCCAAGGTGGACATCTCCACAGCCATTACTGGCCACAAAATCACCAAGATTGAGAAGACGCATGGACTCATGGTTGGACTTCACGTTACTGAGATGGGTCGCCTTTTATATAACGGTCCTCACAACCGAGACCACATTTTACATCCACTCGCACTCAAAGAAATCATTCAACTTCACACCAACAAACCTCCTCCCTTCTTCACAACCAATGGATGATGGAGTGTTACGTTTGTTGAGTCTGGATTTGCAGTTAATTATCTCCAAGTCTTATCTTTACAATCGCTCTGTTGTTTTCTTTTTGTCTGAAAACCAATAAGTTGGACCAAGCGAAGAAGACTGGACCCTTTGTGCACGGGTCACATGACCAATAGCAGGGGGTGCAATTCACGGTGTGATCGAGCTAATCGGCCACGAGCAACAAGGACAAGATTAGGACACTGGCAGGTTATCTGAGAAGAACTGTGTGCGACTTTTTCATAAGCTGGTACGCAATAAAACGCCGCTTTCAGTCTGGCTTATAGTTTTCAGAACAGAACGGTTCTTCAAACAGTCTCAAAGGTCATACCCTTGACCGCTTTATCCTTAATGAACATCTGCTGTAGATAAAATATTAGATGACAAAATTTTGCATAAATGCAATTTTTTTGTTTTTTTTTAACATTATTATTTTTTCTGGTTAAATGAATGCAAAGTACAATAAAAGATGACCATATTTACCTTAATACAAATTCCTGGTCTTATTGTGAATTATGTATCAGTGATAAATTCTTGCAAAGAATAAGAGTCAATGAAATTGACTTATACATACACACACGCACACACCTTCTATTATGAGAATGTTTTTAATTTCTTAATTAAAATTCATTTTGACATTTTTTAAGGTCAAAAATGTCAGGATGGTTCAACTGTCCTAATATTGTAACGAATAAAAAAAAAGTGTGAGAAAAAAAAATAAATGTTTTCCTTTTAAAATAGATCTTTGATTATTTAAATATTTTAAGTAAGGAAAATGTTTGTTTTCGTGATAGTTTATAATAGTAAAAATGTCACTTTTTGCATCGCCTCCAATATGCCTTTCCATTTTGGCTAATTTCACCAAGCTCTCTTATTTTTGAACCACGTCATAAACAGACTACTGTTTTTCATGATTCAATAAATGTTAAATTAAGGAAATAAACGTGGTCAAACACTTTTATTTTGACTTTGAAGTCACGGAAGTAGCCACAGATCTTTTCTTCCATATTGTGAAGCATATCTGAGGGTAATGGATAATGAAAAATGAAAGGTGAGGACTTGATTCTATTTTTTTGGTTGTTGATTTGATTTTGAGATGTGAGCTTGCGGTCGATTGTGGGCGGGGTTTAAAACAGGATTTTGTGGTTCTGTGATGCAGAATTGAATGCAAAATCAAGCAAACTCCGCATTATTTGCAGCAGATAGCATTTTTGTCTTTTTAAACAATTTTTCTGACAAAAAAAAAACAGGGTGAAAAGATTTGCGGTAATAGTAGTTTCTTTACACGGAATGTTTAATGCTGCTCAGAGGTGGCATAAATGCATTTACACAGCATCTGTGATTGTATACTTTGATTCCATGGAATAAGGTCAAAGCAGGCATAATTTATTCTGGCTTTTATGCAGCATTGTCTTTACTGCGAAACAACAGGAAAAAAATGCCGCAAATATCACTGTAATTTTTTTTAGAAAAGCCGTAGCAAATTCAGTCATTTTAGGCCACAAAAAATCATGAAAAAAAGTCTCACGAAATCCTGGTGGGACTGTTTAAGTCAACTAAATGATTGAAGAAGTCCAGCATGTCACCAGAGAAGTCTGTAGTAAAAAAAAAAAAAGTCTGTAAAAGTCTGGAGAAAAAAAAAAGACATGGATTAATCGTCCACGATAAGATCTGTAACATGTAAAAACATTTTTGAATTTTTCCAAAAATTCTGTCATCATTTACTCACCCTCAAGTTGACGGTAGCCATTGAGTTCAATTGTATGGAGAAAAAAAAAATACTATAGAAGCCAATGGTTTCCGTCAACTCTTTGGTTACGCATTCTTCAAAATATCTTCTTTTGTACTCAACAGAAGAAACTCATACAGGTTTGGAACAACTTAAGGGTGACTAAATGATTAGTTTTCATTTTTGGGTGAACTGTCCCTTTAAATCAGATCGACAACATTCCATTCTGTCAATTAACACATAATTATAATTCATTCGTCAGCTAAGATTAAAAAAAAATATATATATATATATATATAAAAAAACCAAAAGACAAACAACAATGGATTTTAGCAACTTTTATTAAATTAGATCTTTATAAAACAGTGCAGAGTCCTATCGCCGGCTTTGCTGATCGCAAGTCTCTTTGAAGCATGTCTATCAGTGTAAGTTGTTGAGAAAATGGAAAGCCAAACGACCCTACGTCAACGTTCAGTCCCTTATACATCAGCAGATCGCATGTGAGATCACACTCAGTCACTGCTGGCATGATTGAGGTCAAATGAGTAACTGCATAATGTGCTGCATTGAAAACATGAGTTATATTTGTAAATATGCACAGATTTCGCTCTGCAAAAATTGAGGTAATCCTAATAACGCTGCAATGTATCTTTAAAACGGTTCATTTAGAGTGATACTTTTGGTCATAGACTTTTCTTGAAATGCATTACGAGCTACAAACATAAAGGTGTTATTTTCAAAGCATTATGCTTATATTCGGTACGCTACACTTTAGATTTACTTATCTAAACAAATGAGCTCGCTATCATCTACTCACAAAAAATGAAATGTCTGATTGAAGACATTATTCATAAACCATGTGACTACCATATCACCACTTCAGGTTGTACAGGTTGAGTTAATCGGTCTGGTTGCAAAAGGATACCAGCCAAAGCGGATCCAACGACAGATCAATCCGGACTGAAATTTGCATAGAATGTCATTTATTTCCAAGAAATAGCAGTTACCGAACAATAACACTCTTTGTTGCCTGGACCGTGACGATTAATCGATACTGCAGATTCACATTTGTGAGAAGGACCCCGTTTTATCGGGTTTATTATACCGACAAACATTGAGTTAAGTTCACAGACTCGAGAAAAATACCGCAGTGAACTGATTCTCTGCATGAACCTCTTTGAGGGGAGAGTGTGCATTGTGTGGGATGGCGTTCAGAGTTTTCTAGCATGGTTCTGGTAGTGGGCCTGACTGTGGGGTAAGGTCATGCTGTTAAGGTGTGTGGTTCAGCAATCAGCAAACGCTAGCAATGGGTTAAGCCTTGGTCACATAAAATCCTCGTAGTCTTGTGCATAACCGCCGCCGAACTCCCCGTAGTCTGCAAGATCATCTTTCATTGTGGCTTTTAAACCTCCTCCTGGTAAAACTCCCTTCTTTTTCTTTTTACCTTTGTTTGCCTATTGAATAAAAAAAAATTATATTTAGGACCAAAAAATTAAAATAATTACAGTAAGATAATACAAATGGTGCATATGGTATGGTATATAGGAGTGAACAAAACAGGAGAATTTTACATTAAAAAATAAAACATTGGAAAAAAGCTAGTAATTGTTTGCCATTGAAAGAATGTTTTACCCAAAAAAATTACATTTGCTAAAAAAAATTATTTATCCTCAGGCCACCCAAGATGTAGATGGGTTTAGAACAGATTTGGAGAAATGTAGCATTTCATCACTTGCTCAGCAATGGATCCTCTGCAGTGAATGGGTGCCGTCAGAACGAGAGCCCAAACAGCTGATAAAAACATCACAATAATCCACACCACTCCAGTCCATCAATTAAAGGCGGGGTAAGTGATTTTTCAAAAACGCTTTAGAAAACAGATTCGGGCCAAATAGCAAAACAAACTTGTAGCCAATCAGCAATAAGGGGTGTGTCTACTCAAGATGTGGAGGAGAGAGCTCTTAACATCTTGTGAAGAGAAAAGGTGCATGTTTATAAAAAACATCAGTTATTAAGGCGTTTTTAACTTTTAAACTGATGCTTCCGGTTAAAATACGAGTCTATAATTAATAATAATGCTTCTTCCAGTGAGAAAGTCCATCCCCTGTTGTTTTCTCACAACAAAATCCACCCACATATTTGTTTAGAGCTGTTTTTGCTTGTAAACGGTGCTTGATGTGCGCATATTTCTGGAAAAAGGAACATCATGAATAGAGCACTTATATTTTAGCCAGAAGCAATGGTTCTAAGTTAAAAACATCATAATGATGAATGTTTCGTACAAACACGCACATTTTGGCTTCACAAGACATTAATTGATGAACTGGAGTGGTGTGGATTACTGTGATGTTTTTATCAGCTGTTTGGACTTTCGTTCTGACGGCACCCATTCACTGCAAAGCATCCATTGCTGAGCAAGTGATGTAATTCTACATTTCTCCAAATCTGTTCTGATGAAGAAACCAACTCATCTACATCTTAGATGCCCAAAGGATGAGTAAATTTCCTGCCAATTTACATTTTCGGGTGAACTATCCCTAGAAATGAATTTCATACCTTTTCTTGCCTCTGCTTTTCACTTAGTAACACTGTTAGTGAGTTGCTAATTTTCTTCAAGTCCTCAACTTCCACTGCAAAACGGATACAAAATGTCAAAGTAATACATAAATCACATAGTGAATGACAGAACAGAACTTTAAAAAATGAAATATACTTACATGAAAGACACAGGTCCCTAAACAAAGTCTCTAAAAAGCTGGAATAATGTATTGACTTCTCATAAGAAGAAATTTTTTCTTTTAGCAACCGCTCAAACTCTGTGAAGTCTTCTTTTGTAGAGGGACTCATCGCATCAATTCCTGTAACATTATTTGATACTACACCTACAAATGAGAATAAAAGTTAAAGATTTGGGCCTATAATGGGCAAAAATATGGATGAACAGAAAGCACTTACCGAATGCTTCTTTTGCTAGTTCCAAGTCTGAATCCTCCTGTAGTTTTTTCACTCGAAATTTTTCTGCCAGCTCTTCTTCTGGTGCGAGTTCTGTGCTGCTTTCTGACTCCTGTAACTATTTCAACAAATTAGAGCTATGCTTAGTGAAAGTCTTGTTATATCCTTTTATCACAATTATACTACGATAAAAAAAAAAAAAAAAAAAGAATTGTACTTACCTCAAACTTTTGAACGGTAGTGTGTATATAAAAAAAGAAAAAGAAAAATATGAGTTACAAAATACTGTAAATAAAACAATGCTTTCAAAGTTTCACAATGTAAACGAAATATTTAACAACTTCGAAAACATTCAGCATAACTTCCTGAGAAATAGGTCAAATTAAATATTGCCATGTCCGAACTCACTTGTTTAAGGAGCTCCTCTTGTTTTTGTCTTTGTACATTTTCCTTTTCTTTTATTTTCTCACCGAGTTTCTTCTTTTCTGTAGGTTTAGCCTCTGTATATGAAAAACACCTCAAAGTTTAACATTGCAACTTGAAGCATAGCTGAAGCTTTATAAATAACTGCTTTGAAGAATGTGAATTTATGTGCATGTTAATATGTGCATAATTTTCAAGCGGTTTAAATTTTTTGTGTAATTCTCATATAATTATTCATGTAGTTTTTATAGCCTCGGCTTAATTAACTATGAACAATGAACAAAAAAATACTTCAATATTATAATATATAATATAATATTTTTATAATATAATTTTCTATTACTTGTTTCGCTTCTGTTTCAGTTTTTATAACCATTTCTTACTATGTGTAAGTAAGTTGTTTTTTAGCATGTGTTTGGCAGTGTTATTTTTTAGGATTACTTAAAAACTACTGCTTTTAGTTTAGCTTTAGCTGTTTTTAGTTGTTTTAATACTACAGTTGATTGCTTCTGTTATCCTCATTTGTAAGTCGCTTTGGATAAAAGCGTCTAATAAATGACTAAATAAATAAATACATAAAATAAATAAATACTTGTAACACACAGAACTACAAGTCAACTGATACAAAAAATAATAATAATACACTAGTCAACATTTGAAGTGGATCAAAACCTTTAATCAAAGTTGTCCTAAAACCAAAATGTGTTCTTGTCTTACTTTGATGAACTTTTTTTTGACCCATTTCAAATGTTGATTACTGTAATTACAAGAGGAGAAAATACATTTTGGGGGAAACAACAACAACAACTTTCAGTTTGTCAGCTACCAATTTATGCATTTCATATCACTGATATATACCTGACTTTTTTTCCTCCTCCTCCTTTTCTTCCTCTTCATCATCATCCCAATTATCCTACATGGAAAATGAATTTCAAACCACAAATTAG